ACCCGGCCGGTCGTTTCATGTGTTACAGTTCCGTTTCCCCCACTCCTGCTTCTTATTGTCTTGTTTAAATATGTTATGTACTATCGGGTTGGTTGGCTAGGGTTCGGAGAGGTTTTGCTAAGGTTTGAGACACTTAATCTCTTTTGAGTAAGCTTAAGTTGAAAAAGTCAACCGGATATTGACTTATGTGAAAAAGGGCTCGGATGTGAATTCCGATAATTCGGATAGCTTCGGTAGGTAATTTGGGACTTAGGAGTGTGATCGGAATGTGTTTTGGAGGTCCGGAGTAGCTTTAGGCTTGAATTGGCAAAAATGGATTTTTGGCATTTTTCGGTTGATAGGTGAGATTTTGATATAGGGGTCAGAATGGAATTCCGGGAGTTGCAGTAGGTCCGTTGTGTCATTTGGGAAGTGTGTACAAAATTTCAGGTCATTCAGACGTGGTTTGATAGACTTTTCGATCAAAAGCGTAACTCGGAAGATTTTTGGTACCTTCGGCTTGAATCCGATGTGAGTTGGTTGATTCGATGTTGTTTGAGGTGTTTTGAAGATTGGTATAAGTTTGGATAGTGGTATATGACTTGTTCGTGCTTTTGGTTGAGGTCCCTGGGGCATTAGGTGTGTTGTGGATTGGGGTAAGTGTTCTATATCCGAAAGTAATTATACTTCATGATTCTATGATTATATTCATCATTTATTTTGGATTTAAATGGAAAAAATCAAGATTTTTGCAAAACTTTTGAAGAATGAAAATTTAAGATTCTGAGGTCAAGTTGTTATCTGAATTTGATAAAAGTGGTATGGTTGAACTCGTATCGGAGTGGGTTGTCGGATTTTGTGAGTTTCGTCGGGTTCCGAGACGTGGGCCCCACAGCTAACTTTTCGAGCGGAGTTGGAAACTTTTATAAATTATTAAATTTCAAGCGTTGGAGTATATTTTTGGTTAATTTGCACATTGTTTGACTAATTTCTGATCGAACGGCACCAAGTTGGGGCTTTAGAACGAAATTGTGACAAAAAAGTGGGCTTTAAGACGAGGTAAGTCTCTTTTCTAACCTTGTAAGAGGGAATTAACCCCATAGGTGAACTAAACTAATATGTGCTTCTATTTTTTAGGGATACATACACACGAGGTCACAAGAGTCCGTACGTAGCTACTATTCATGCTTATGTCTGGGTAGTCTTAGGTTTACACCATGTTGATACCGTTATTTGATTATGTTTGTTATTTGCTTGAAAAGAGTTGAAATTGAGGATTTCGAGGAGCGGTATCTTGGAAGTCATCCAAACAAACTTGTATTGCCCACCCAGAATGGCTCTAAAATTTCTTGGAAGATATTCCATTTTGGCCCAAAATCGTTGGAACCAATATGCATACATTGCGATAATCAAGAGGCAATTGAAGGGCTAGGAGCGTTATGTATAACGATAAATCTCGTCATATACGACGAAGACATAAAACCGTTAGGCAGCTACTCTCTCTCTCAGGAAATTATCACAATTGACTACGTAAAGTCAAGCGATAATGTGTCGGATCCGCTTACAAAAGGCCTAACTAGAGAGGTAGTTGAAAGATCATCGAGGGGAATGGAACTATGGCCGAGGACAAATCATTGTGGCGGTAACTCTACCTAGAAGACCGTAGATCGCAAGATCTAGGTTCAAGGAGATCAAACAAAGTAATTAATGACGGTTCAACATTGTCAATTAAAATTTTTGGTCCATTCTCGTGATGAGACAATGTTCAGTACCAAGGATAAAGCATTAAAGCCTTTTGATGGATTTTAAATTTGATACAGGGTATATCAAAGAGTGTACCTATGTGATGACATGTTTAGGAATCACCTATGTAAGTGTGAAGTGTTAGCCGCTTCAAGGAGAATTTTGCAATGCAATTCTCTGCGCACTTATGAAGCCAGGCGGTGTTCATGGCTAAAATGAACACAACAATGAGAACCAAAGACGGTTAAGGGTTGATTGTGTGACTTATGATTGTCTAGATATACATTAAAGTTCGACGGTTTAAAGATATCAAATCTACCGATTGATCGAGTATATCCGACATAGTTCACTACGGAAAGTTCAAAGGGAAACCTACTTATCCATATGCAATTAATCCTTGCTTGTAAATCACATAGTTTTTCATGCATATTTTCGTGATATAGCCATTCTTAATTCATGTGGGAGATTGTTGGGATTTAAGCTTGTTAGAGCTTAAAAATAGAGTGAATGGGAAATGAAGGGAAAAATAAAATTTTTGAATTTCTCTCTTTGACAAAGAGACATTGTCCCACATTGGAGGAGGAAAAGAGTTATGATGGGTATATATACAATTGCACTTCTTCTAGCTCTTAAAGAGTTGAGAAGAAAGCAAGCCTTGCGCCGTCGTCGTTGTTGCTCGCTCGGCTTCGGCTTCGGATTTGGCCAAATGATCTGATTTATTTATTTATTTGGACCAAATTTATTTGTTTATATTAACGTAATATTATTTAATCCTAATTAGACAATTTCTGTGACGATAATTTTAATTTTTCCTCCGTTTTAATTTTCCCGTTATAATTTGAATTTGGCGGTTTGCGTAAATGGTCGTTTTAAAACAACCATTTTGAGTTGCAACCTTACATAAAGAGTTGCTACCCTTCGGTATTATCCAACGTTTTGGCTATAAATACATGATCCACCCCTCAGATTTTTCTTATGAAAATTCTGATTTCTCCTTCTTTCTTCTGCACTATTTTTAACAGAAAGAAAGCAGTAAGTGTGATTTGCTACTAACTTTGAGTTTGTTGGTCATTGGGGTTTGAAGTACCGCTACACCAATGAGGGTAATCCGTTCTATCCTGGGAGGACAATCCTAAACCTCGGGTACTAGGAGGGACTATATTCCTTAAGAAAATACTGTGAAGTCAGTGAGCTCGAATTAATTCTATTCTTCTACATTTCTGATTTTACATTGTTTCTATTTTTGAATATGTTTTCGAATACAGAATACTAACATAACATCTTTTAATTTGAACGGAAAGGATACAGTATAATTCATACGAGAATTTAAATATTATTTTTATGTGAGTTGCGACGCTCCAGAATAAGTTAATAACTAACCTATCATTTGCCACGCAACCTAAAAAGTTATAGAGTCTATTAGGGGTGTTCATGGTTCGATTTGGATTGGTTTTCCCTAAAAAAGAAATCAAACCAAGTAAGCCGGTTTTTCAAATATTAGAACCAAACCAAACCAATTAAGTCAGTTTATTCTCGATTCGGTTTATGTCGGGTTTTCGTTTTTTCGATTATTTGTCGGTTTTTCCTTAAATATAAGACATACACTTTCAAACACATATTTCGGCGACCACATGTTCAATTTATCACTATCAAATCAATTGCCCTTTGAGAAATCTATTATTTACTAAAATATATTGATGATAATTGAATCAAATAGTGATGAATAATTTAAGGACTCAATTAAAGATATATATTTTTTAACATGAAATGGATTGTTACACTTAACAAAAGAAAACTATCAATCAAACTAGAATATAAAGGTAAAAAACTGTACTAAAAGTGCAACCGATTAACATTCACTATAAAATTTTGAGACTTTGTAGTTTGTATAAAAATATACATACATACATACATACATACATACATACATATATATATATATATATATATAGGTATAATAATAAATTTGATATAGCTACTCCTATAGTCGGTTTGGTTTGGATTTTTTCGATTATTTTTTGGTTAAAACCAAAACCAATCCAAACAAAAAGGTATCGTTTTTTTGATGGATTTGGTTTGATTTTCGGATTGGTTCGAATTTTCGGGATTTTTATGAACACCCCTACCGTGTATACTAGGACCAGCTCTTATTAATTTAGGATTTCACAGGCAAAAATCTTTATAACCCAGCTGTCATCTTTTAGTTGGTTTGCTTTCCCCAAACACGCACCTCAAGGAAAAAGTTAACAGCTACCAATATTCCTACCTACACTATGGAAAAAGGTCCAACTGGAACATGCTCACGAATAAATACTGGATTTTCTTTCACAAAAAAACTTTTGCTTTTCTTAATTGCGAATTTTAAATATTAACTTGATTTTTTTATACGATGTTATTTGATTGTTCAGTCAATTTATCCTCACCTCAACTAATTTTATGTGATATATCTATAATTCTATCCACTAAAATTTATATATAAAATAATCTCAAGAGACTAACTTTCAAAATAATTTAAGATAAGAAGTTGATATTTTTATTAATGATGCCGGCCTTCATTGTGTGCCTTGGCTAATGGGGACACGTTTCATGGGAGGTCGCACCACCACATGACAACTTCATACCTCCCAAGAGTACCACTTTTGAGGTAATTAATAATACCTTCCAACTGAAAAATTAAACCTTTCCAGCATCTTCCACTTACAATATTAAAATTGTTTGAGTTCGAATCATCAAAGGAACTATAACTCTAATAAAAGGGATAAGAAAAAAGATAGAAGAAAAAAAAAATGAATTTAGTTAATACCAAATAGGCAATAGGTTGACTTTTAAAATGTTGGTCAAAATCTTAATTTTAAGCTCAAGAAGAAGAAGAACATTCTTTTGGATAAATGAAGTAATAAGTTGAGTTAATCAAAGCCATAAAATAATTTTTTTTCTACTGTAAAGTATTTGATTTCTAGTTCTATTAACTTGAACTAACTAACTAATATTTACGAAGTTTTTTATTATTGACATTACGATAGAATGAATAGAATTTTTTCACGCGTGGTACTTCGGAATTAAGCCATGTGGATAAAATATTGATAGGCTTTATCAATTAATTAGTATTTTACGGCTTGAATGTGAATTAATCAGTATCACAGAAAGAGTACATAGGATGGGAATAATTAAATAAAACATTTTTTTTAAGAATAGAAAAGGGAGCATATTCTAAGAAGATTTTTGTATGCCTTGTAATTAATTAGCAATTTGATATAAAATATTCCGAAAAACAAAGTGGGTGTGTGAAAGCGTGCGACAGCCCCACCGTTGCCTTCCTCTACACAACTCTTTTATTGCAAATACGAAATTATGCAAACCTTCTGTAGAATTGCACCCTCCGCCATGGCCTCCTTCCCTTGTTCTAAGGTTCTTTTTTCTTTCTTTCTATCTTCCACCCCTTTAATTTGTATACATAGCTCTTTCGATATTTTTGGGAATTGGTAGAGTATTCTAAAACTTTGACTTATAGTAGAGAGCTTTGTTATGTGTTTGGAAGACTATGGTTATTTTTTATTTGGTGTGGATGAATTGAATTATTCTGCGGTTTTCTGAAAATTGTTGAAGTGAATTGGAGAAATGATGAATTTATTTCGCCCGTGTGTTTTTTGCTGTCCCTGAATTTGAATTCATGTTTCCTTGCTAGTTGTGAATTTACTGTGAAGTCTTCACGAACTGTGTAATTTGTGTAGCGATATATATAAATGTATGAGTGATTTGTATTAAAGTTGGGATCTTTTTCACTTTTTATTGTATCCTTAATTAGCTTTTGATAATTACTATGTTGGTCTGAGATTTTAAGGTTTAAGGTTTTACAAGAATTGCTTCTCTGTCAGTTATTTACTGATTCTATCTGATCTTCTTGTGGGACTCATTTTGTTATTCTGTTTCATAAATATTTATTTTGGGGGGGGGGGGGGGGGGGGAGGGGGTTCTTAGTTACATATGCTGCTTTTATTAGTATTTAGATCTTTAGTCTTTTGGGTTGCATTTTGACTTAATTCTTTTTGTTGGTTTTCTTAGACTCGGACAGGGGTTTGTGTATGGCCTGGCTTGAGACAGCTTTCTCTTAGGAAGAATCTCCTCTATGGATTTATGCAGCTTTTCTCAATGCCGTTTAAGACCATACGTGGAGTTAGTCGGACACTAGGAGTTTCTAATCTCTGTAGCATTACCAGTACGTGTTCAAGTTTGCAAATCGAACTGGTGAGTCCTCGGTAACATGCATTTTATGTGCGTACATGTCATTTGTTGTGTCGTTTTAGTGTTTGGGGACATTTAGTTATTCTTTCCTCTCAATGGAAAAATATTTCATCGATTAGTGGCTTTAGAACACTATTGAATGTCTTTTTTGTAAATTATCTCAAATGAGTGATTGAGATAGGAAGTACTGATGCCAGAGGGATTTAAAATTGTTCGAGCAGACCAGTAAATTGAGCATATTTGCTTGGTGATGAGCAAAAATGATTACACTTTATTTGAAGACGCCGAGTGGCGGGTGGTACTGCAATTTGGTATTAATGGCCTTTGTATATTAAAAATATGGCCGAGTACCCTGAGACTAAGTTGCTCGGACTCGGGTGCGGATATCCGATACGGGGACGGATCCGAGTATCGGATTCGGCAAAATCTAAATTTTAAGATTCGGGGGTGCGGATCCGGATATGGATACGGGTGCGGGTGCGGGTATTCGGCTAATAAAAAATAGAGCTATAACAATATTGTAAATTTTGAGAGATATTCTGTGAAAAACTTACATGAATATTGTAGAATTCAATCTTTCATTCTCCTAGATGGACATTATTCTTTCATTGTCCTAAATCTGTTTTATTTTTATTTTGAGAAATCAAAATGTCTATTTTTCTCCCAAATTTGCCGATGGACTCCGGTCAAAGTGTCCGAAGTCAGTTGACCGAATCCAGGAAGTATCCCGTCCCCGTCTTGTATCATGACAAGGATGGCACCAAAATCGAAGAGTCCGCGCAACTTAGCCCTGAGATCACTCTAACTGACGATAGATACACAGATCCTCCTGGGAGTTATCTGTGTACTTAATTGACATCTTGAAAGTTAAGGGCTTACACCTAGTTGGACAAAAACAGGGATTATATTGCCCCGTGCAGAGTATTTAGAAATGATTATACTGTTATAGCAGTATAACAGTATACTGTTTTCACGGGTTCGAACCGTGGAAACAGCCTCTTGCAGAAATGCAGGGTAAGGCTGCGTACGATAGGCCCTTGTGGTCCGCCCCTTCCCCGGACCCCGCGCATAGCGGGAGCTTAGTGCACCGGGCTGCCCCTGCCCTATACTGTTATAGCAAAACTGCTTGTCTATCATATCTTCACCTGCTCTGTGGGAGATAGCTTCAAAGGATGGATCTTAATGTTCAACATCTTTGCAATATAATGGGGGTTTTTTCCCACAATTTCTAAAGTAACTGCTGCATGCACGACTGGTCAATTATTGGAATTCTAGAGGCCTGAATAGGAGGAGCTGGGTAGTTGTCCCTTATGCTCTAAATATGGCCTGTAGTATAGGGACTGGACTGAAGACTTAAACTGAAGATCTATCAAGGGCATTGACAATAGCTGTAGGGACTGAACTAAAGACTGAAAGTGTTTGGCGTGCTCATGACATTCCAACTTGTATGAACAACTCGATGAACTTCTTGAATGGGATTCCTTTTTTTAGTGCCTTGTATTCTCTTGTATGCAGACGTATTCCTTTTTTTCTTGCTGGGTAATAATTTTTTGTTTAAATTTTACCATAAGGAAGGCAAAATGCTCTTATATTAGTGTTGCTAGTACAAAATAATCAAATATCTAAGTCTCAGCTCACAGAAATGGTAGTGTGCTACTTCCATTTTGGTTGGGAAAGATGAGAATTCCGTGCTTTTTCTTTTTTCTTTTTCAGGAAGCAGATTTACTAGCTGAGAAAGAATAATATAATTTCTTGCTTCTCTTCCACTTTCTTTTTCCTATGCATTTCTGCTCTCTTTTTCAGAACAAGAAAGCACAAATAGGAAATCTACATCTTGACTTTATAGTGTAACAAAGCTTTCCATCTCTATGTTGAGAAACTCTGATAAGTTTGCTAATCATTTCTGTTGTCTATTGCCAGATACCATGTCTCCAGGATAATTATGCATATCTATTGCACGATGTGGATACTGGAACAGTTGGTGTTGTGGATCCTTCTGAAGCTGTTCCTGTTATAGATGCACTGAGTAGAAACAACCGCAATTTGACTTACATTTTGAACACACATCATCACTATGATCACACTGGTGGCAACATGGAGTTAAAAGCAAGGTATGGGGCAAAGGTATGATGAGGTTTTCCTCTTGGTGCAATGATTTCAATGCTGCTATTAATTTATGTCTAGTATTTTCTGCGAACTCCGATTGGTTCATTTTTTTTTTCACATTTTCAATTCTTTCTTTTGGTTCTTTGTTTTTTTTTTTTTAGGGGGGGGGGGGGGGGTTAGGATTTTACCTGGTTACAGTTTTTTGGTTCAACGGAGTGATCTTGAAAAGGAGGAATGTACAGTTGCTTTAGTGCTTCATATCTGTTGCCACAAATCTCGTGAAATGCTTTAAGTGATATTTTGTACAATTTTCTCTGTCTGTATCTCTGCCAGGCGTACCGCGCATGACCAGTTAAGATTACTGAATTTGGAATGAAACCAAAAAAGCCAACTAAAATACCAAAAATTATTTTCCTTCAAGCTCAGTGATTTTGGTTTTAGAATTGATAGAAATTAGGATTAACTTAAAACTGATGTTACACTTAAAAATTCTTTGTCACTATAACATGCAATTCTCTCTTCTCCTATTTTTGATGAAGTAAGTGGTGTATTAATAACAAGGGCATCCAGAAGATGCAAAATTACAAAATAAAAAAATATCAGCTCCTAATGTAGACATAACATGCATTTCTCTTTGATTAGCAGATTAAGAGTCAATATGTTTGTGTCAGTTGAAATTTTGTCAATGAGGCTTTTATTCGTTACGTGATTTTGTAGGTAATTGGATCTGGAGTAGACAGTGATAGAATACCTGGTATTGATATAGCCCTAAATGATGGGGACCAATGGATGTTCGCAGGCCATGAGGTGCTTGTCATGGAGACTCCTGGTCATACGCGAGGTTGTATATTAGTGCCGACATCATTTGAATATTTACTTGAACTGTCTCATAGTCTTTTCTTTTTGCTCGTGATGCTATATGATGGAACAGACATTTATTTCCCTGTCAAATAGCATGCTTCTTGTCTTTTCTTTTCTGCTCCCTTTAAGGTCAAATATCAATCACTGTGGGAGAACGGCACCATCTTTGTGTAGATGTCTTCTGCTGTAGTTGGTTTTAGCTAGTTACAAGTTCTTCATGTTACTTGCTGGACATATGTGCTGTGGGAAGTATCCGTTTAGTGTGGGTGTATTAAGTCCAGTTGAGAGTTGGTTTACCATTACATACACCTTCAGAAAATTCTCATCCAGTAGTATAATTACATCTTACAAGTGAGATATCTGACATTCACCACTATAACTATTGTCCTGTGTCCGGTTATTCATGGAGAGATTAAGAAGAGAGATGATAGATCAACGAAAGAAGTATGTCTACTAGAATGTATTCGATCAAACAGAGTTGTATAATCGTTTGATCCGTTTACTTTCTCTGTCCATGTGTTCCCTTTCATGTAACACCATTTGACCGGGTATGTTCATTTTATGTCATGCTATTTGATCGGGTAGTTCAAGAGATATTAGTTTGACTTGTAAATGCATATACGAGTGGTATTGGATGAATATATTAGTGTAAGTATCTGAGAATTTAATTTGAAAGAGAACCATCAAAATTAAAATCGATTTTAGTTAAAATAGATGCGAATTGAGAAACCGTTGGAAGTTGAAATTATTAATAAAATGATGTCAAATATTTGTTATGTTCCAAAATGAAGATAGTGTCATATAAAATTGGGACAGAGCTAGGATCTTCTCTGTTCATCGCAACGCAACTGTTTATTCTTTTAACATGATTTGTGATGAGAAATTTTAGATTGAGGGCAAAGGTGGGGATTATTCTGATCTAAACTGTATTATCTTTTTGATCTTCTGTGTTTTTTATATGCTCGAAAAATCTCCTCAACATTACTAATACGAAAAAATGCATGACAGGGCATATCAGTTTTTATTTCCCGAGATCAAAGGCAATTTTTACAGGAGACACACTGTTCAGCTTGTCTTGTGGTAAGCTATTCGAAGGGACTCCTCAGCAGGTAAAGTAGAGTTCTATTTTGTGGGCCGTATGCATCTAGTTTGTATTGCATTTTATTTTTCTTTTATTGAGCTTCTGTATGTTCTTTTCTATTTGGCTTCAGATGTTGATGGTTCTCAACTAGCAACTAAGTCAGACCGATCAAGTAGAATAAGTAAACTAGTAGAAAAAAATTAGGAAAAAGCCACTGTTGGCCCAATGGGAGGGGGTTTCGGTGGTTAGGGTTACCGGGAAAATTTATACAACATAACAAAACCATAAAAGTTTTTGGAGTGAGCTAGCCAAGTCTAAAATGTGATATTATAGGAAGAAATATCTCTACCTATCATACGTGGTGTTAAATACTATGCATATTGCTTTTCTTTGGGTGGAGCAAGAAGCCGTGAAGTAAAACTGTCTGCTATATAGTCTGAAATTGGAATGTGAATGAATGATGAATCACCTATCTTAACGGAGCTAGGTCCATTGTGCAGAAAGATTTTCGTGAGGGCACTTGCCAACCGTAAATAATGAATACTAAAATCATCTTTATTTACAGATGCTCTCTTCATTGAGGAAGATCATGTCCTTACCAGACGATACAAATGTTTACTGTGGTCACGAATATACATTGGTAAATTAACTTTTGATCATTGTTGTCTCGTTCATAACTTAGATAGTGTTGGCAGCTGCTTCTGACCTGACTATATGACATGTTTTAACAGAGCAATTCAAAATTTGCACTTTCCATAGAACCTGGTAATGAAGAATTGCAGTCATATGCTGCACAAGTTGTCAATCTTCGCAAGAAGGGCTTGCCAACAGTAAGCTTCTTTTCCTGAAAACTCTAATGAGAACAATCTAGCGGTTTACCTAAATATTAAATTGTAAATATATTGGGATGATCCGGATGATTCATGAAATTTGAGGTGTCTTATCTTCTTAATTTTAATTAATCTCTGAGAAGCTTAATAAACTTGTTTGGTGTTTTTGTATTTGACCCCCGTTAAATATTTCCAATTTACACTTTGCTCATTGGTAAGTTACCAGAGTGCCCAATAATATCTTAGTAAGATAAAGGATTTGCTATCATCAGCAAGAAGAAGCTTCCAAAATTTACAAGTTTTACAATAACCTTAGAACTTGTAGGTTGAGGAATCCAGTAATATCTATGTTGCATCTTTGATATTTACACAAAAAAACTATGAATAAACGGTAAAAGCATGTATATATCTTCCCCTCTATTTTCTAGGAATATTTATCTGCTAATTGTCAGTGTTTGCTAAATATATCTTCTGGTGCTTTAGATTCCAACAACGCTCAAGGCGGAGAAGCTATGTAATCCATTTCTTCGAACTTCAAGTACAGAAATCCGGAAGTTGCTAAACATTCCACCCACTGCTGCTGACGCAGAAGCCTTGGGAGCTATTCGTCGTGCCAAGGATAAGTTTTAGGTCGGGCATGTGAATTTGCCTATAAATGAGCCAGAGAATGTGTTAGATACAATGTGGCTTAACAATTTTTGTATAGGGAAAGTACATCTACCAGACAAGGAATACCTGATTCCTGTTCATGTTTGTCTTAGCTTGGAGAGTCCAGATTCTGCGTGAGACTGTCCTTCTGATTGATACACATATTACATATGGTTAAATTTGACCCAATAGAGTTGTTATAGCAAGAAAAGCTTTTTAGTTACTGCTGTATTATTTTATGGATCAAGTTTACTTTTTCATTTTATATTGAATATGCGTACCATTTCTTTCAACCGTAGCATTTGGCAGTTTGAATTCTGAGAAGGACAAGATGGCCAGAATCCTTACTGGATCCAACGAGAAGAGGAGAACACCCTCCCATTTACTTAATGACTAGATGGTTGGTGAGGACTTGAACTTTTGTTTGCTTTAAGGGGACATAGTTGGCGGTAATCACAGACATTTGGACAATATTCTGTCATCTCCTTGCACAAATCACAGACTTCATCTTTTACATAGCAATTGGTCTTGCCATCAAGATACTACAACCCATGTTCTCTATTCAGACTTCGGTTGCATATATTTTGTGACGCCCCCATCAACTTTCTCTTACCCAGATACAGTTAGAAAATGGAGAACAACATTGTGAGCTGATCTAACAGTCATATTAACGGAACTTGCAAAATTGTGAAGAAATAGAGAAGAAGAGTTGGATCACATAAGGAGATTTCCTAGTTCATCTATGCTAAGCCCTCGACTTCTTCCACATAGATAGACCATTTGATATAAACGAACATACTTAAGTTTCTTTCTTTGTAAACCAAACTTCTCTGTACTTTCCAAATGTTGTGAATCATATTATTTTGACTTTATTAAATGACTAATTCTGGCAACAATGAGACTGCACACTTTCCTCGACTTGGATAGTGATTGTATACTTCTAGCAACTTTTTAACAAGTTATCATTGTAGGATTTAATTGGCTTTCATGGGAAAGGCAAGTAGAATTAATATGAATAGTGTCACAAATCAAGTTTTTACCATTCAGGATTCTATTCCTTCGAAATATATAAATACTTTATACTGAGATTACTTGCATCATAAATAAAAAAAAAATACAACTTTAATAGAATTATTTGTCAATATTATTTCATGGCAAACAATTTACTTGCTACCAACTCTAATTTACCAAAATATTTTTGTACTTAAGCTAATCGCATAAATATATTGAGCAGAAGTATGCTTCACCACCCAAAAGAAGCAGAAAATAAATCATGATATTTTATCTTTTTACTTGCCCTGTATATGAAGCTTGACATCTTGCATCAGATAACTTCTTAAAACCTATAGCATTAAACCACCGCTACCAAAGACCACTGATTACAACATTATTTGTTTGAAAAATATGGAAGATAAAGTATAAGCTCCAATTTGTAACATAGTTCAGAATGGGAAAAGAATTTAACACATGTAGTAGTCAAATATAATCACGACAACCTAAGCATCCAGAACATTCAAAGTTTTATGTACTCCGTATAGATATATCTTATAGCTATCACAAAGAAAGTTTGTAAGTGAACATTTTATCTGAATCATATAAGACATAAGACAGGACATACAATTTACTACAAAAGAAAATTATTACTTGGGAGGGATAAGAGTAAAACAAAATGAAAGAATCAATTACCACATTACTTGAAGGTTTTATCGCAAAACATCATCGTCTGTCTGCTTTTGTTATATACTCTCCTCTTAAGGATTTAAGGTCCTCCAATGAGGAGTTAGGAGATAGAAGCTAGCGCACAATGTTATACCTACATCAGGTAAAGAGCAAGTTAGATCAAGTAACATAGTACAAACATGTTATTATTTGTAATGTGCAAAAGTAATCCAGATAAAAAAGATTACTCCAACTAATAGTAACGACCAAAGATTAATGAGGCACAAAGAGAGACTTATTAAATAGAATTTCGAGAATAAATTAAAAATATAGATAATGGCAAAACTACCCAGGTAAATCTCAGTTTCAAATTTCAAATATTCAATTTTTAAAGTGCCAGTTGGCATTTATGTTGTTAATAATAGAGGCATAGTGGTATCTATCAGAAGTGTCACGACCCGAATCCACTAAGGGTCACGACCCAAAACTATATATATATATATATATATAAGCCTCAAAGGAATCAAATCGCACGATGAGGAAATCAAGAAGGGAAGTGCTCCTAATCGCCCTGTAGCCTCCCGAAGATAAGTACAGACGTCTCCGTACCGATCCGCGAGACTCTACTAGCTTGCTCATGACTCGTGAGACATAAGGGAACCTAGTGCTCTGATACCATGTTGTCACGACCCAAAATCCACTAAGGGTCGTGATGGCGCCGGACACCACTTTCAGGCAAGCCAACACTATTTAACTAGAGATTTCTCGTTTTAGATATTCCAGAAATCACTTCTTTTATACATTTAATTAATAAATAATAAGTTTCACTAAATGAATACTAATATCTTTAACAATTTCAAAATACTGAATAATCCCATAGACATCTCAGAACCCGGTGTCACAAGTGCATGAGCTATCTCTAGGAATATAATACAACAACTGCCCGGAATACAAATAGGACAGAAAGTAAATATGAAAATCTGATAGAGACTCTGTTTGCTGCGGGTCGTCTCGAGAAGTGCAGCTCACCTAAGTAACCGTATACCATGCTGCTATGCCCATTAGGCCGCTAAAAATGCATGTGCCTGTGCAACAAAAATGCACAGGAAGTGTAGCGTGAGTACGAAAACAACGTGTACTCAGTAAGTATCCCGCCTAATCTCGAAGAAGTAGAGACGAGAGGTCGACTTCGACACTTACTAGTGGTCCAATAATGGTACATCAATAATATGACAAATCGAGGATTTATATAAACATGATTGTAATTCAATAGAGTGAAACAAGTAAACAATTCTTTCTTTTATATGAAATTCCCAAATTACCTTTTCATCATTTATACATATATTCTCAAGCTGGGAAGAAGCAATATCAACTTCAATAAATTGTAAGGCAAGAAATACAAGCATGCGCAAATCATGCCGAGGACGTATGGCCCGATCTAACAATATTTAAACTGTGCACTACTAGAGGGTCGAATGGCGCGAACCATAGATGCATCTATTACCCCGCTCGCGAATCATACATGTGACACGGTCAAATATAAATAAACAATGACCCTGCTCGTGAATCATACATGCAACGCAGGTACACATAGAAATACATATTCAAACAGTTAATCAAGACATTCATCAAGAAAACAATTATTCAAGGAGGTGTAAATTTTCCTTTTTTTTACAAGCCAAGAAAATGAAGTTTAACCCTCTTAGAAAATCATTTGCCACTTCGATATGATTTAAGCAATTTATACTATCATTAAGGTTGCATTTATTACAAATAAGCATGCTTTTGGGTCTTAGACTACCCGGACATAAGCATAATAGTAGCTACGCACGGACTCTCGTCACCTCGTGCGTACGTAGCCCCCACAATTAGCAGCACATATTCAATTAATTCACCTATGGGGATAATTCCCTCTTACAAGGATAGAAAGGAGACTCACCTCGCTCCGAAGTTCCATAACCGGCAATCCACGCCCTTCCGAAGATTCAAATCGATGCAAAAGGCTCCAACATTAGCCAATAATAATGTAAATCCATTAATATGAGATCAACTACTCATTATAATCCAATTTATTACAATTCTTAACCCCGACCGAAAAGTTGACAAAATCGCCCTCGGGCCCACGTGCTCGGATTCCGAAATTTTTCGAAGTTAAACTTTACCCATAACCTCACGAACTCAAATATATAATTTACCCTTAATTTCATGTCCAAAATCGTGGTCAAAATCCAAAAATACCAATTTTCTAGGTTTTTCCCTCAACCCCAAGTTTTCCACTAATTTCCATGTTAAAATCTACACATAATCAATGTATTTAACTCATAATAGGTAGGATTAACTTACCTCCAAGTTGCTAGGTAGAAGCCCCTCTCAAGAAGCTCCAAAATCGCCCAAAAATAGAGAAAAATAAACAGAAATGGCCAAACCCCGCTATTTTAATGTATTCTGCCCAGCAACTTCCGCACCTGCGGACTTATCGCCGCTTCTGCGAGTCCGCTTCTGCGGAGCCTCCATCGCACCCGCGCCAATTACCGCTTCTGCAGTCTTCCATCTCGCTTCTGCGCTTGCGCAGATGCGGTCAATGCCGCGCACCTGCGGTCCTTCACCTGGGCGGTCATGTTCCGCTTCTGCGGCTCCGCACCTGCGGCCCAAGCCTTGCAGGTGCGGTTACACCAGAAGGCAACTGATCACTTCTTCTTCAAATTCCAAAATTGATCAGTTAATCACCCGAAATCCACCCGGGGCCCCCGGGACCCCGTCCATTCACACCAGTCAGTCCCAAAACACATTACGGGCTTGCTCGTGGCCTCAAATTATATCAAACAACGCTAAAATCATGAATCGACCTCCAATCCAAGCTTAATGAACTTTAGAATTCCAAACTTCTACATTCGATGCTGAAACCTATCAAATATCATCCGATTGATCTCAAATTTTGCACACAAGTCATATTTGACATTACGGACCTACTCCATATCAAAATGTCCACTTCCGGTCAAACTTCTCAAAAACCTTCAAATTTCTATCTTTGGCCAAATGACTCCAAAACGACCTACAGACTTCCGAATTCACTTCCGATCGCGCTCCCAATATTGGAATCACCATACGGAGCTATTCCCAGACTCGGAATCCCAAACGGATATTGATAACACTGAAATGCACTTCAACCCAAACTTATGAAATTCCTCCAACAATGCTAACTTCCACAACATGTGGCGAAACGTTTCCGGGTCTTCGAAAACCCGACCCGGACATACGCCCAAGTCCAAAATCATCATACGAACCTGCTGGAACCTTCGAATTCCGATTCTGAGGTCGTTTACTCAAAAATCCAATATTAGTCAATTCTTTCAACTTAAAGCTTCCGAAATGAGAATTCTCTTTCCAAATCAACTCCGAACATCCCGGAATTCAATTCCGACCATGCGTACAAGTCATAATACCTGAAGTGAAGCTACTGAGGGCTTCAAACCGCTGAACGACGCGCTAGAGCTCAAAACGACCGGTCGGGTCGTTACATTCTCTCCCACTTATACATACGTTCGTCCTCGAATGTGCTGAGAACTGCACCGGAGTTGTCCGAAATCATTGTTTAACACCTTGAGCACCTACCCGTGCTACCACAGCTTAGTTA